TGTCAACCAGGAAGTAGCAAAACCCTGGCTTCATTTTCTCAGTGCAGAAACCAACGAGTGACGTCACGGTAGCTACGTCCATCTTTTATACAGTCTATGGTGAAAAGCAGTGCTGCAGAAGTGTACAGTTCGAGAATAACAATGCAAATTTTTATCATGAAAGCATTTAAACGTATTCTAGTAACCCATCCATCCATCCATTCTCTATACACCGCTTAATCCTCACTAGAGGGGCTGGAGTCTATCCCAGCTGACTCAGGGTGAAGGCAGGTTCACCTGGACAGGTAACCAGTCTAACCACCGCTACACCTTCCAGCCCTCATTCTAGTAACCCCAAAAATAAAATTCCAAACCGGTATATGAGCATATTACAGGCTCTTTAACAACAATAAATATGCTGTATATTTACTCGTAATGTTTACATTTTTGGACATTTGAAATAGTTCAACTTGTCTTTACTTGTTTGGCTCTAATGGACGCTTCCATTAGCATGTACATGCAGCTCTTTGGTCACGACTGGAGGGCAAAGATGCATTTAAGCATTTTTAATGACACATGCAGAGAAAGAAGTATATTAAAAAAAGAAACAGATCAGGTGTGACACACTCATCGGCTGAATGGTAGCAAGACCAGAGGAAAAGTTTATTTCCAGGGCTTTACTTGTATGATACATGACATAAATACATCTGTACCTTTGTGAGACGTGACTATTAGCGTTCAGGTACAGGATGTATATGTCAGGTATGACACATTTGTGCCTTTTTGAAGCAGAGCCATGCATGAGTGAAGACAGGCAGAAGAGAAGGAGAGTGTTTGTGTTTGTCTGTCAGCTTCCTACAGCCAGCCTGTTAGTGTTCAGGTTTCAGATGCGCGGCTGTGTGGGCGCAGGTTGTGTGCTGCTGAAAAAGACACACTGGTTTCCAGGTAACAGGCAGGAGAAGACGGTCTACCTTCATTTTCTCTCTTTAGCCGAGGGAATGCTAGTTTTTACAGCTCTGCCCCTCCACCCCCCCACGCCCGCCCATCTCTTTGTAGATGTCGTGCTAATTAGCTTTATGCATTTTCTTTTCTTCGACAATGCAGCAGAAGCTACAGGAGAACATTTACTGTAATGCATCTTTGACAATGCTGAACAAATTTTCAGCTTGAAAGAAGATTGTTTATTGCTTTCTTTCCAAGGCTGCAGATTTCTCCGGTTTCAATAGATGCAATAATTACAATGCTGTTAGGTTAGCAACGTGGACCTGGTAACCAGCACATGCAACGTATCGCCACAGATAAAAATCTCAACAAATCTTAAGCCATGACCTTTTTTTAGTTATTATAGATACAAGGTAAAAAAAACAAACAAACAAAAACAAGTGAGAGTATGTTTTCAAATGACGTCATTCAGAAAAAAAAGTTATTAATAAATGAATTAAATGATAATAAGGACGTCACCAAACCAGAGAAAGTGTGTTCATCAGTGTTTTTCTTCCACGACTGGAGGAGGGAACAAGTGTTTGAGGTCAAAGGAAGAATGAACATCTCATTGTAAAAGACAAAGAACAGTTTGTGGTAAAAATGCTTAAAAGGAGCGCCGCTTCCCTTGACCTGAGGTTGTTGACAAGCCAGCCAGTCCTTCTTAACAAAGCTACACATTGAAACTGGAAGATAAAGTGAAAGTTGCAGGCACAATCGAGATAATAATAATGTTTCAGCACCAGATGTAAATGAAAATAAGGATTGTATTTCATTATGTGGATAACGTATGACATGTTAGTAGAGAGCACTGTAGCCTCGCAGTTAGAAGGTCGCTGGTTTGTGTCCCGGTAAAGGCCACCCGGGATCTTTTTGTGTGGAGTCTCCATGTTCTCCCCGTGCAGTGTGGGTTCTCTCCGGGTTCTCCGGCTTCCTCTCACACAGTCCAAAAACATGTTGAGGTTAATTGGTGATTCTAAATTGTCTGTAGGTGTGAATGTGAGTGTGCTTGGTTGTCTGTCTCTAAGTGTAGCCCTGTGATAGACTGGTTACCTGTCCAGGTGAACCTGCCTTCACCCTGAGTCAGCTGGGATAGACTCCAGCCCTCCATGACCCTAGTGAGGATTAAGCGGTGTATAGATGATGGATGGATGTTAGTAGAGATTCATCCCCTGACAACGTGGGTATCTGCACCAAATTTCTCAGTCGTCTATTCAGTGTTTGAAATGTAGGTATTGTAGCCAGGACCAAAGTGGTTGACTGTCTGACCAACATTGTTGTCCCAACATTTCATCAGCTTGGAGGCTGACGGCAGGTCTGTGGCTCATCGTTATGAACGAGTTGAATTGACGTGTAGGTTGCAGCTACAACGTATTGAGATGATGCTGACGTTACGACCAGCTCATTTTTTATGAGGCTATTTATTAGGACTACGTTTAAATTTACATGACGTCTGACCTTCATTTCAACATCTAAATGTTTCCTGGGAAGCCACAGCAACACCTGAAGATCATTCAGTTATAAAAAGTCTTACAACATCTGACCAGCTCACTCTTGTTTTTTTTCCTACAGATTGTTACCGACTTTGTCTTCCTGTGTCCGTCCAGGAGGTCAGCGCGAGCCGTCACAGCAGCAGGCAGTGAGGTGTGGATGTACGTGTTCGACCACGTGACCTCCGACAAGCGCGTCTGGTCAGGCCTCACGTTCTGCTACCAGCACGCCTGCCACGGTGCCGAGCTGCCCTTTGTCTTCGATTCTGCCTCGGTGGCCAACTTCACCTTGTCACCGCCAGAGAAGCTGCTGTCCAATCGGATGCTGTGCTACTGGGGCGCCTTTGCCCACACCGGTGACCCTTCCTCCAGGGCGCAGCAGACGTTCTTCTGCCGGCAGCAGCGTCTGCCCGTTTGGCCACGTTACTCCGACACCAGCGGCTGGCTCTCCATGAACCTGACGGTGCGCTCTCATGCACAAGTGGGAACCAGGAACCATATATGCGACTTCTGGGATCAGCTGGGCATCTATTAGTGACGGAACAAGTCGGTGACAATATATGCTGTTCACGTTATCACAGCCTTTGCAGTCTGAGGTTGTGGTGTTTATCAGTATATTATATATCCATTAGTAATAAACATGACCTTTTAAGAAATGCTACCAAACAGCAGCTCTTGTAATTCTCCCTATAATGTAATATTGTTGGGTCTTGACCTGATTATATGAAGTGTCCTGAGATGACTGATGTTGAAGATTGGTGCTGTATAAATAAGACTTCCCCAGCAGCATGTAATAATTCAGAAGGAAAAAGCCACTAGTGCACACCAGTTTGAGGAAAAACAGGACACAGATTACTGAAAAACTGGAGTTATTTAGAAGTTTGCACATCAGTCTACACTTGTAAGAAACACACAGTCACTGCATGTCGTTAGCGAGCTTGTGGTGAATACACAAAGGGCAAATGAAGTCCAGAATCTAAATATGGCCACATAAAGCAAGACATGTGCGTCTCATTACTTCTTAACAAATGCTTAGAGTGCAGTGACTGTGAGACATCACTGTGTCGGGCCAGGACCAGACAAACTGGTGGAACTTCTGCTGTCTGCCCGTAATCAGTTACTAAAAATAGGTCTGAGTAAAATTAAACCAACAATATGTCATCCATGATTTATTATTGAGTAAGAGGTTTCCCTTGTAGTCTTGTTTTTCATTTTACTCTGGTGTGAAATCCAGAGCTTATGTCCTCCATGAAATGTTTTTGTCGTGTTAACTTGTGTCTAAATGCATGAACTGAATTTAACCACTAAACCCTACCTTTCATTTATTGTAAATTTACAACAGCATTGATACATAGGGTACTGTAATTTAGATTGCTGTCAAGATGCTGTACT